AGGGAAGTGGGGAGAGGTTATAAATTCTTGACATTCACGCAGTGATGTTTCTTCCAGCAAGGCTCCATTCCCGTTTAGTTCCATAACCTTCCAAACAGCACCACCAACTGGAAACCGAGGGCTCAAATATGTGACCAGTGCAGACACTTTATTCAAACCACAATTAAGATGTGAGTTAGAAAGTTGGTTTGGTTTTTAGTAAATATTTCATCTTATAAATATTCTGGGACCTATGGCCTCATAAATTTTTGTCATGTATTCTCTTCAGTTTTTGAAAGGATGTTTAAATGGTTATCACAATACTCGAGGAAATTTTTACTAGGATATCTGTGCCTGGATTTTTTGATTGGCACATTTTCACTGTGAATAAGGTCTTTTAGGTTTGTTTTGTTTAATGTCCCTTTCTGTCCATTTTAACAAGTCCTCAAAATGAGTGTGTCAATTCCACTTAAACTGTCAAATATAACGTTATAAAATGATTCCATAAAGCTTCTTAACATTCATTCAGTCTGTAATCTCTGTTATTTTTCCACATTAAAAGCTAACATAATCTCTGTCTTTTACTTATTAGGGCTTGACTAACTTAGTACATGTTTCACGTAATTACATGTTACAAATATTGGATATTACACATCTTTATGTTGTATTATATTTTCCATTAACATTTGTAATTGTATAATTTTATAATATACTGCATAGAATGTTAATACATAAATATAATAGCCTAAACACAATATAAGCTTTGAAAATTGTATGAATTCCTATTATTTTCTCCTTTTATAAATTTGGAATAATTTGATCTTTAAAATAAGACTTAGTTCATCCAATTTCACAACTGAAATTCATCTCTTCAATTTCATCCCTTTCCTCTTCATGGACATATGAATTAGAAGTCAAACAGTTATATAGACTTCTTTTAATTTTTCCTTATTTAATTTAAAATGTTATATATTCCTTGTGTTTTTACCTCTGAGCTAGACTTAAAAGTGTGATCTTTAGCTTTAAAATACTTTAGCACTGTTGAGTGTTTACCTTGCTTATATAATACCTTAATGTTTATAACATATTATACACATGATTTTCATTTTCTAAACTGTGCTGAGAAACTGTTCCTAAGGTAACACACATCCTAGCTCTGTGTTTTCTGCATGTGCATCCTTCCATCTTGAGCATTCTATACATACCAATTAGAGTAACTGCCTGTGGATTTCATTCAAATATTCTGTATTAATGTTAGTTGTCCCTATACTTCTAACTGAGGGTTGCTAAGCTCTCTGACTGTCACTGTACTGGTCTTTTTCTACCTTCAATTCTGTCAAAATTTGCTTCTTCTGTTTTGAAGATTTCCCAGTTCCTTGTCCTTTCTGTTGTGGTTTTCTGACCTTGATGAGTATTATCTTTTAATTGGCATTATTATTCAATTTGTTCTGAAGGTTTGTTGTCTGTGACTTGGTTTGGCTCTGTTAGCTGGAGGTTTTAAATCCGTTTTTCTAAACTGTTAATTCTCTCCTTTCTCTTCTCTTGCCATTTGTTTGTGAATTGAATAATTTTTAAACATCCCGTATTAGGACTATTCATTGACATGTTGTGTATTTTCTTGCAATGGTGATCTCGATTTTAACTTACCCCAGTACATTTTCAAGCATTTCTTTCCTTTTCCCAGATAGCAGTACTCCACACACGGACAACTGCGTTGATGCCTCGGCAGAGTGCTGCCGTCACCCTGTGCTTCACTGATAAGTGCTGTAGTCATAGGAGTGGCCACACTTACAAGTGTGTACCACAGGAGCTGTGAAGTTCATTCCCAAGCTCAAACGTATGGAAGCTCTTTCAAGCATTATAATTGGTTATGCAATTAAGATACCATTCCATGTTTTTGTGCACTTAGACATATCACTTGTCCGACAGTCGTCACTTCTTCCTGCCAGCCTACCTCCTTCTGGAGCAATTCCTCTCTTGATGTGATGAATTTCTACAGCATGCCTTACAGGAGACCATTTTCCCCCTTATGCTTCTCTTGTCAGTATCTTCATTTCATCTATTCCAGAAAATACAATTTTTTAAATGCATATTTTTTATTCTTTAATCTTTTTACATTCCAGACTTTATCCTCTTCGTGGTCCACCCTCTGACTGTTCCACATCCCACACTTCCCCGCCCGCCCTCCCCCGACCCCCTCCAACATGATGTGCCCATCCCACTCCCTGGGGCCCCAAGTCTCTTGAGGGTTAGATGCATCCTCATTTACTGAGTCTAGAACCGACAGTCTTTTACTATATATGTGTTGGTGGCCTCATATCAGCTGGTGTATCCTGCATGGTTGGTGGCTCAGTGTCTGAGCAATCTCAGGGGTCCAGGATAGTTTAGACTGCTATTCTTCCTACTGGGTTGCCCTCCTCCTCGGCTTCTTCCAGCATTTCCCTAATTCAGCCATAGGAGTCACCGCCTTCTGTCCATTGGTTGGGTATAAATATCTGCATCTGACTTTTTCAGCTGCTTGTTGGGCCTTTCCGGGGGCAGTCATGCTAGACTCCTGCCTGTAAACACACTATAACATCAGTATAGTGGAAGGCCTTAGGACCTCCTCCTGAGTTGGATCTCAATTTGGGACTGTCACTGGACCTCCTTTTCCTCAGGCTCTTCTCAATTTTGTTCCTGAAGTTCTTTCAGACAGGAACAATTATGAGTCAGAGTTTTGGCTGTGGGGTGGCAAACCCATCCCTCCACTTGACATCCTGTGTTTCTACTGGAAGTGGGCTCAACAAGTTCCCTCTCCCCACGGTAGGGTATTTCATCTAAGGCCCTTCCCTTTGAGGCCTGAGAGTCTCTCACCTCCCAGATCTCTGGTAATATATATATATATATATATATATATATATATATATATATATATTAATTTATAATTTGGTCTTCCCTTTAAGCCTTTAAAGGATGACATTTTATTATCCTTTGCTTCTATTTGATTTAATGAAAAATCAGCTTTAATCATTTGGCTCTCTATATCCTGTCACTTTTCCCTAACTGCTTCCATTTCTTTTTTTCTCTTATTTTTTCAGACAGTTCCCTACAATTTGCCTGAAAATTCCTTCTAAGGCAGGACTGAAGTTCTTCATCTCTGCTCTTTGGAAGCAATCCTACATGTTCTTTAAGCAGCTCTCCTTAGCCTCCGTTGCTCATTTCTTACAATCACAGACAAGCGTTTGTGCTAAATAGGAAATTGTTCCACAGGTTCCTGGACTTGGTAGTCTTGCTGTGCGTCTGTCATTCTTTGAGTTTGAATTATAGCTTTATTCAAGTTAACCTCTGTTGTTTCCTGGTTACTGCAGCATCTCCAAGGAGTCCTCTGACTCAGCTGTTTGTCTTTACACACACTTAAATGTGGTTAAGTTCTCACTAGTGCACGCATGCTCCCCACCTTCTCTACCACATCCCGGCATAGCCTTTTAAATTTATTTCTACTTCTTGTTCTATTAGTTTATTTCCTGAGTATGGATCACATTTCCTCCTGTATGAAAGGCAGTGTGTGAAGTAAGAGGCCAAGGCAAATGTGCATTCAAATCAACATAGAAGACCAGGAAGTGTACTGTTAGTACTGACTTCAAAGGTACGCTTAGCCTGTCCTGTCCAGTCTCCATTGGAGCTAAGTCACACCAACTTTTAACCTACATCTAATCTGAACCCAAATGACAAGAGCTTTAGTAACTTTGAACTCATCAGGATCATAAAATATTTTGAAGTTACACATGAAATTTCCCTTGCAGGTAAGGCTTTGGAGAGCTATTTATTCTTTACTAGAAAAACAAACAAACAAAACCCAGAAAACCCTCTGAGCTGAGCTGGTATGGTATGAGTGCTAAATTTAACAATAATGCATGCTTTTTTGACATCTAAAACTGAAAGGCCTAGGGCAGCCTGGCCACAAGATGATTTTGTCCCTTCTGCTTCTCAGGATAAGGTCCCATGGCCCGTTTATCAAGAAGACCAGACACAGTTCCCATTTATCACTAAGGAGTGGCTTTCAGCAGGCTGTAGGCAAGCAAAATTATTGAAGCAGGCTGAGCTCTCTCACTTGCCAGGCTGGGTTCATCACTCTTAGTGTGAGTTGATCTTACTTGCCTGAGAAGCTAGGGATACCACTCTTGGTGTGACAAAGGTTGCCTCTGCAGCCTCTGAAATGTGCACTGGGCTATACAGTCCTCCCCAGTGCCTAGTATACCAGTGGAAGCACTGCAATTTGCATCCATCCACTGTTGGCTGTTAAGTGTTTATCCATGGGACTCCTCTCCTACTGATACACTGAGAATAGGTTATTAGAACTTCAGATGGGGGGTAGAAAGATGTCTCAGTGGTTAAGAATATTTGTTCCTCTTTCAGAGGACTTGATTTCAGTTCCCAGTACACACAGTGTAGCTCACAACCATCCGTATCTTCAATTCCAGATCTGGTGCCTTTCTCCGCCCTCTGCAGGTATCAGGTATTCATATGGTGCATATATATATATATATATATATATATATATATATATATATATATCTGCCATTCATACATCCATCAAATAAAAATATTGAAAACAGGGCTGGAAAGATGGCTCGGCAGTTGACAGCTCTGATCGATTTTCCAAAGGTCATAAGTTCAATTCCCAGCATCCACATGCCACCTCACAACCATCTGTAATGGGATCTGATGGCCTCTCCTGGTGTGTCTGAAAAGATTGACAGTGTCCTCATGTAAATAAAATAAATAAATAAATCTTTTAAAAACACATTGAAACATAAATAACACTTTAGGCAGAAAATGTTATTTCTCAGCATGAAATCAGTCTGTTAACTTTTCTGATGTTAGTGACTCACATTTAGCTCTCTCTATTCTGGCACATTTTGTTGCCTTGTATGATGGTTCTCATTATTTGTCAAACTAGAATCACCGGAAAAATGAGTTTAAATGACGAGCTGTCTACAAATGGATTAGCCTACAGAAATGTCTGTAGAGGATTACCTCATTGAAGTAGAAAGGACCAGCCCACTGTGATGGAACCATCTTCTTGGCAGAGGAGAAATCAAGCTGAGAACAGGAAGAAAGTAATGCATACAGTCACTGTCTCTGCTCCACTGCTGTGTCTTCCATACAATGATGGACAGGGCCTGGATTGCAAGTCAATAAACCCTTTCTCTCCTCAGTTCCTTTCTGTCTCGGTAATTATTGCCACAACTAGAATGATATGAAACCAGAACACCTTGTCTCTACCCTCTGGGAGACCATTCATTCAAAGTGTGCTACTGTGGGCTGGGCATGCCTCCCTGGTAACTTCAGTTCCATTCTCTTCATCAGACTTTGGGGGCTGTGATAATCAACTTAATCCCCTAATTCTTTCTCTCCTTCCCTTTCCTTTCCTTCCTTTTTCTTCCCTCCCCTTCCCTCCCCTCCCCTCCCCTTCCCTTCCCTTCCTTTTCTATTTCCTTTCCTTCCCATTTCCTTTCCTTCCCATTTCCTTCCCTTCCCTTCCTTTCCCTTTCTTTCCCTTAGACTGTCCTTGAACTGGCAAGGTATGTGGTATATATATGTATGTAAGGGCTTTGTGAGGAGGGCTGTGGGCATATATATGATATGTGTGGGATGTATATGTATTTGTGTGTGTGAGAAAGAGAGATGTTGATGTGTGAATATGTGTGGTGTATGTGTGTGAATATTTGTACATATATGTGATGTGTATATGTGTTTCATATGTAATGTGGGTGTGAGGTATATACGTTTCTATGTATGTGAGGTGTGTGGTATGTATGCATGTACGTTTTGTGTGTATCTTTGTAGGGGTGTGTGTGTGTGTGTTTGTGTGTGTGTGGCAGAGAGAAAGACAGAGAAACAGAGAGAGATTGAGATTGAGATTAAGTTGAGAGAGAGAGAGAGAGAGAGAGAGAGAGAGAGGTGAGTAATGTGGAAGAGAAGGGTCTTCAACTGTATGAATAGAACTATGTGTATATGTCATGGTGGGAACATGTAGATCAGAGGTCAATGCTGGTGTGAGGCCCTACCAACCACCCTGTTGAGACAGGATCTTTACTTTGCGTTTCCACTGCATATGCCAGGCTGAATGACCCATGAGCTTCTGAGAATTTTTTCAACTCACCATGAAACACTGGAATACAGATATGTACAACCATTTCAGGTTCTCACACTTGCAAACAGTGGTCATCTTAGCAGATTAATTCTTTTAACTATTTATGTTCCTAGCTTTCAAATTGTTTAACTTAAGTTTAATTTCATGTAGTAAATTTTTTCCTCATGCCTTACTGTGTAACTCCATTTATCGATATGAAATTTTAACAGATTTTTAATATTTTCAACTAATGAAAAATTGCACAAAGCTGAGAACTCTGGAATCTGCCATGAATCTTTCAATTTATAGAGGAAGAGTAGAATAAATTATTTAAAGTGTTTTAAACTATTTTAAGACAATGAACTCCACAAAAGTAGGAATATGCTGAACCCTGTTACCTGTTGGGGTCATTCCTGCAAATGGAGGATAGCTCCAGATGTAACATGGCACAATCTACAGTCCTGTCCTCTGAGTGAGTCTCAACAGCCATGTTGTATTGGCTTCTAACTTAATAGGTGTTTTGACTGATTTTCTTTTGATAAGAAGACTGACTCAAATAGATTGCAAAAAAATAAAAGAATATAAAGCAAGCTGATTATCTCATCACCTGAAGATCAGAAACGATGCAAGGACTGTTTAATGTTAATCTTAATGATAAAATACCAGAGATGTTCAGAAAGTACAGAACATTTAATTTCACATTTTATTTCTTATAAATGGATAAGTTGGTAGCATGGTATAGCAGTATAAATATCACAGTGTGAAATGGGGTATAGTAGAGTTCTGGGATCCCAATAATAGTGCTATTTGGGGTATAAAAACATTTATTTTATTTTATTTCTTGATTGTATACAAAATAATAGGCTCCATCATGTCCCTCACTTCACTGTTCTTTCCTGTTCTCATTGCTGTCTGCCTGTTGCTACATTTTCTTTTCCCAAATATTTTTTCCTTCTGGTTTGGTGTTCTTGTTCCGCTCTCGCTCTCGCTCTCGCTCTCTCGCTCTCTCCATCTCTTTCTCTCTGTGTCTGTCTCTCTCTCTGCCTCTCTGTGTCTATCTATCTCTCTGTCTCCTTCCCTCTTTTCCCTGTCTCCCTCTCCTTTCCTTCCTTCTCTCTTTTCTCTCCTTCCCTTTCTCCCCCTCTTCCTCCCTACCCCTCCTTCCTTCTTTGCTTCTCTCCTCTCTCCCCACTTCTCTCCCACCTTCCTTCCCTCCCTCCTTTTCTCCCTCTATCTTTATCTCCCTCTCAATTCCTCTCTTATTAAGATCCCTTTCTTTAGGGTATCACCAAGAAATAATATACTGACTTTTCTTCATCCCAGGAGTTTTATTTTTCTTAACGTTTTAATGCCTATTAATAAGTCTCAGAAAGCAGAACCAGAGGTCAGGCCTTTGATGGTTTCTGTAGTATAAGTGTTTAATGAACAAGGACTGCTCCATACACCAGCAAGGCATACTCAGGGGAGTTACAAAACAGCAGGGCTTAGCAGATCAATAACGACATGCTGGACCTTTAGCCTATCGATCACAAGGTCACTTGTAAGCCTGCATGGAGACAAGCACAAATATCATATGGGTCAATCTCACAAGAGGCTAAATGCATTGCTTGTTACCATCCAATCTGATTATCATTTCTTCCCTACTTGGTGTCATGTATAAATCCAGGAAAGGAGCTCTTTGCCACCAACATTTCCTTACGGTGGCTAGGATCAGGTGGTCATCTTAAACCACAGGACCAAACAAATACAGAAAATAGAAGGAAACAGCGTGGCCTTGATTTGTGTTTCAAATATTTGGAAGTGTCTGTTCATCTGTTTCTACAGATTCTTGTATCATGATCATTAAATTGTGCTTTAGCTAGAAATGCTTTCCTAGAGGAAATATTCTGAGATACTGGCCTCCTATAAACTCAGTCTGTTTCCTCCTGTGTGTTCTAAGCAAGTCTCCTATCATGTCTGCTTATTATGACAGAAAACCAAGTTCAAGGATAAACTTTTGCAGTTTGGGGCTCTTTTCCTTCTAGGGTTACCACTGGATACAGTTTCTGGATTATTTTATTTTGAAGTCCATGTCAGATCCAAAGCTGCTAATTCTTGCATCTTGATTTAAATCATACCCCATCTTACACTTTCAAAGCAATCAACAGTGCCATCACATAAATCAATGCTACCTGCAAAAGTGGAGGCTGGAAAATGTACTCAGACAGGTATTTGGTAAATCAGAGAAAGTTATGCTTTGTTTCAAATGCTGGTATCCAGTACCCATAATCAGGAATAATAACACATATCTGCAATGATTTATATATAGCAAGTCAGCAACAGAATTCCGGTTTCCCATGCTTAAATAAATATAAATATATTCTATGATCAGTATCGTAACAGACCACACATAAAGTGACACTGGATCTGATCTTCCTATAGAATTTTAGTCCCTCCCATGGAGTTGGAGCCTCATAAATGGTTGAATGAATGAATGAATGAATGAATGCGTGAGTGACAAAGGCCGTGACAATGTTAGTTTGTCTAGTATCTGTTAAGGTTCCCTCCCAGATGCCTAACAGCTAAGTTTTTGCAGAGGGTAGAACTTAGCTGAAGACTAATTAGGGACTTGCTGGAAAAATGAACTCATATTTTATAAAGTGTCTCTCCTAGAAAAGAACCTTAGAAAACATTTTCTACTGCCTACAAAACTCACCTGCTCTTGGATTATAGCCTCAGACTAGCATTAACTATGATCCCATTTAAATGAGGTCATTTCAATGTTTCTTCATTGATTGTTCAATGGCCAAGTCCTGATTTTACACTGTCACTCACATATCAGAGCTAACAAGTACAGAAACGAACTACTGAAAATAATGTATGCGTATTATTGTCTATAACTATATATTACTAATAAATACCATTATTCGGTAAAACATTTTAAGATCAAAACTTGAGACAGATTTTTGTGTAACTATAGTTTCAATTTTTTTTTACTTCTTGTCTTTAGTTATAATTTTTGAGATTAACTTTAATGATCCAATGGGAAGAAAATCATGACAAAATCTTTTCTTGATTTCCTGATGCAGTAGAACAAAACACTAAACTCTTTCATCAAGCCTAAAGAAATTCCACTCTCCACTGCCAATGAGAAGTTTCCTTCTAAAGGCAGAGACACACAAGCATACCTGGGAAAGGGAAAGTTGCTTCATGGTCCTGGCTTTTCCTGCCGATAATTGTCCATGTTTCCTCCTTTCCCCTCAGCTTCTCGGAGGTCCTTCATCACATCCATTGATCCATCCTAGGAGGGTCACAGATCGTGGAGCAACCACAGAAACAGGAAAACGAACTTCCTGAGTACACTGCAAACACAGAAACCTGTTTCCTCTGCGCACATCAAATTGTCAAAACTCAATTTTAAAACGTTCAGTACGGAAGTGGCTATCAGAAAGACTGGAAGAACTTTGCCTCCCAATTCCACATGAATTTTTGTGCCTAAATTTACTGCTATGAAGGAACTAAAGTTTCTTGTCCTGCTTTCTATTTTATGGGGCAGGGCCTTTGGCCTTACCAACACTCAGCATTCATGGACTGCTCCTGAGAATGAAGACTCCTCACTGACTCGTAACTTCACTTCAGCCCCTATAAGTGAAATACTGAGCCTCCGAGTGCTCTTGGCCACTCAGAATCCCTCCAAGGACCCTGAAACTCCTGAGAGACCTTCTGATGACACTAACCTACAGTCAACACCGCAGCCCTCTGAGACAGTCATCCCTCCTGAGGGGAGGAGAAGCCAAACACCCTCACTCCTAGAGAAGACAGAGACAGCGGTGGTATCCCTGCCTCTCTCTCTCCAGAACAAACCCAACATCAAGCCCAGCCCTGGAGCAGAAAAGCTCATGCTTGCTAATGCCACGTTGAAATTCCTTCAGAGTTTTTCCAGAAATTCCAAACAACAAGCAGTCTCCCCTAAATCGACTGGAGATATGGGAAACAGGTCTGCAAAAGAAACACATCTCAGGAGAATTGACAACAGCGGAAATCAAAGAGCCAGCTATCAAAAATCCAGTTTTGAAACAACTAGAGGGAAGTAAGAAACATTCTGTTCTTGTTGTGTCTCTGACTATACTGTCTATAAGAATGAGTGCTACAGGTCTCTTTAGCTTGTAGATTTGTTCACGGTTCGTAGTTCCATACGGTTTCAAAATCGCAGTCAGAGTCTTAGGGAAGAGAAGGGAAAAGGACAAAGAGTTGAAATCTCTTCACTCTTCCAACTATTGTTCAGGATGAGGAACGAAAGGGCACCACCAAGGCACCGAGAAACACACCCACATGCCAATATGAAAGGTTATCATGAAAATTTCGCTTAAGAGAACTTAGACATCGGTGGCTCATAGAACAGGTGATAAAGAGATCGTATTCCACTTATCCCAGAGTCACACTTGTCAAGGGCATGATGAATCAGAAAGCTTGCTTTTTAGCTTGACTTAAGGTGACAGCAGTTTGCTTTGTTGTAGTAAAATAAAACTAAGTTTAAACAAGCATTGTAAGAAAAATCTCAAATGGACCCAAAAACAAAACAGAAAAAAATGCACACCTAAGCAAAGGAATGTTTTATTCTCATATGATTTACTCATCTATATATTTACAGGTATAAGCCGACTTGTACATAATTTTACCCATAGTGAAATAGCTTCAAGAGCCTAAACAGAGTTAGATATTATACCAATAATACAATAAACTTTAAATTAAAAATAGTAATTCATACCTAATATGTGAAAGATGTTTTGAGCAGGCTGTTGACTAGATAGCATGAGAAGTAAGAGGCAAGGAAGTTAAAATCAGCACATTTCAGCTTCTTAGTCTCTTTAAGTCAAGTCTGCTTATTGATATAATTTCAAGGTCATAAGAGTTTACAGATATACAGATAAGTGTGATTTTTAGCTAAAAATTCACTTAGAGTCTGGAATAATTCAGTTTAACTGTGTAACAAATGTTACCTACCAATCATGTTTATCTTGGATGAGGAGACGTTCTGTAAAGCAGTTAACACACATCCTACTTAGTAAGAAGTTCCCAATTAAATAAAAATGACAAATGCTATCTGTTGAAACACTTTTCTAAATTGCTCTCAGGCATCATTTCTACTTACCATGCTTTATTGGTGTCTGTAATTCAATTTTTTTAATTGCAAAAGAACTCCTGAACATTTATAGGAAATGATCATGAGCTTTTCATATGTCTGCAATTAGGAGAGGGTTTTTTAATAGGATAGGAAGACAATAAAGCAAATAAAAAGACAATTCAACTAAAGAACCACTTAAATAAAAGTATGTATCATTGTATCATAATTAAAATTACTATTTAACCGTTTTATAAATAAATATTAAACTTGACATTAAAATTGGCATTAGACTTTGAACTAACACTTGTTATTTTGTACAACAAGCTCTCAACACTTGGGAAGGCTTATTGATTTGAACATTATTTATGAGTGTCCATCACATGCCTAGCCCTCTGCCAGGACGTACAAAGAATTTGAATGTCCTACCTGTGTGCATTTATATTTACTATAAAAAGCAAGTATGAATATGCCTATTGAATTTCCCAAAATTCAATATATGAAAACCACATATGAAATACAAACAGTTGAACAACAATTTGCCTTATGGATTCCCCAATAAGACTAGTCAAATTGTTTCTATAGTAAAGTAACCATTGATTTAGAAATTCTCTTGTTTGCTGTCCTGGAGAACCTGTATTTCTCTTTTAGTAATCTTCTCTACTTAGTCTAAATTATCCTACTCACACAGTCATCCAAAGGACAGTCCTGTGAGAGAAAAGCCAGGTCACTCGCTCTCTCTCAATACACAAAGATCCAAAGAAGACTTGAGTTGAAAAAACGTTTTTGTGTTTTCATGTGATTAACAATGGTAACATCAAACATTTATTTGACATCTGTGTGTGTGTTTGTGTGTGTGTATGTTTGTGTGTGTGTGTCTTTGACACTGTTAACCGTTACATATAATAATAACTCCATAACAAAGGGAACATGCTGTCATGGTGTCTTTCTGGAGAGGTTTTAACCTCTTAATTGACTTAAATTAATTTAGTTACTATATCTCAGGGCAAAGAGATGAACTGGCTTCCGAGGCTTGGCAGCCAGCTCTACTAGGGCATTCCCTTAGCAAGAGAGAAGCCTTCATCTTAACTGGGAGGACAGAGCAGGTGAATCTCCAAGGGCTTTTGGCTGCCTCCAGAATGTATTTCAGGTTCCTTACCCAGTTACAAACACAATCTTGCATGGTGTCTCCACGCTCATTTTCTACTACTTTCAGTCTGTCCAGATTTTAGTTCTTTGGTCCACGGTACGCTGTATCTTCCTTTCCTTTCTCTTTGTTCAGATAGCTTGGTCTTTTCCCAATAGCTATTCCTTTTACACCCAATAGTAACCTTCTGGGTCTATTAGATAGCCCTTCTAATGCCACCGTGTTTCTCAGTCTTCTATCACTGCACTTACAACAGGGAACTTATGTATGTATGTATGTATGTATGTATGTATGTATGTATGTATGTATATATGTATATATATATATATATGTATTTATTTATTTTTATTTATTTATGTTTGTTTGAGACAGGGTCTCTCTGCATAGCACTGGCTGTCCTCAAAGTCACTGTGTTGACCAGACTGGCCTCAAACTCACAGAAATCCATCTACCTCTGCCTCTGAGTGCTAGGATTAAAGGCATACACCACCACTGCCCAGCTCTAAGAAAGATTCTCACAAAGAACACATGATCTCTTTGCTTGTAGGTAGCCACTTTGAGTGTTATTTAAATCTCTGCTATATGACATGCATGATAAGTAACGACATTGTTCTCTGGCCCTGGTGATAAGGGGTATGTAGGAAGGCAAATGGAGAACATGAAATATGAGGGTACATGTGTGAGTAGAGCTATTCCCAAAAGTACTTCTCAGTAAGAATGAACACTGTCAGTCTAGGATTAACACACCATCCCTTTATCACTCGGTAGTGTTTGCAATTGAATGATAATTCTTAGTGAGAAGGAGTATTGCATCTATGAGAGGTTCTTTTCTCTAGAATTCATGTGGATTATTTGTGTCTTACTTTGTTCCCTTTTAGCACTCTGGGGGCTGTCTGCTACTCAGATCTGTGGTATCCTGTCTGCCAGAAGGGGTGTTTGTAAATGACCGAGCACATTAAAATAGGCACAAAAAGATGAAATTAGAACTGGGGCATTTCTATGTAGGACACACATTTGCTGGACACCCAACGTGTCCTCAACAATATGATCATGTTAAAACTTAGTGACCAAAAATTCCTGCATGCTGCACACTCATAAGACCCAGGGCACATGGTGACAGATGTGAGGAGGAGGCCTTGTCCAATGAAGCATATGTGTTGTTAACATATGTGAAGCTGAAGAGAAGAGATTGGGATAAATGAGCTAAGCACTCTGAGTGGGGTCAGGAAGCCTTGACTGGCTGTAAGAGATGGAATGGGGTGTACAGCTACTGCTTCACTTCGTCTACACTCCCATCCACTACACCCAAGAATTCTAATTGCAGACATCTTAGTGAATTCAGCTGGTTCTGTAACTAGAGGCCTCGGTAGGTTCTCTACACTTTTCTGTCCTTCCAACATTCTCTGATCTATCAGCAAGTCTCTTCTTATTCTAGCTTTATTATGTTCCGGGTCACTCTGCTTCTCCTCATCTTGTCCTTACCCACACATCAATGTCCCACCCCTGTGACCCATGCTCCACATGGTGACAATTTGTTTGTTTAAAACAAAATTCAAGATAATGTTCCTCATTGGACATAATGATTCCCTTTATGCTGCCCAAAATGAGTACTTTAAGTATTGACATGAAAAGGCGATCGTGTCAAACTTTCTTAGAATGTATTTATCATCTCACACTTTGGTAAGCTTAAAAATGAAAAAGAAATGAAACTGGCTTTAATAAGGTATTGGCAATAGTGACTGACTGGTCAGTGGGTGCATTTCAAAACACCTTCTGAATTCTTAGAGAAGTGTTTCTCAGTATCTGGGGGGATTTGGAGTCTCACCATCTCCTTCCAGGCTCATTACACCTTGAGTCCTCCAGGCTCAGAACTGAGCAAGTTCTCATCTGTCTTTTTTTTTTTTTTTTTTTTCCTGAAATGTTGCCCTGGGAGTGTTTAGAATAGGATTCCTTTTCCTCTTTCAACTTTAATTTTGACATCACCTCTTCAAAGAGACTCTCTCTGACAGCTTAACTTCAGCCCTCTGGCTCACTATCCCCTTCTTATCTCATCCACTTTTTCATTTAGAACACTCACCTGTGCAATATTTGGCTTTCATGAAAGCATGGGCTTTGCCTGTCTGACTGATAATTCTATTCAGTGCTTGGAACAGAGAGGAACGAGACAGAGACAGAAATCAAGGAACCTGGGGAAAATGGATTATTGAGATGTCTGAGAGCTCAATGATCGATCAAATTCGTACAGAGAAATATTTCACATCATGGATGTGTGTGGTACTGCAAGAAGGCTCTAGAATTAAGAATAAAGAAAAGGGTTGGGGATTTTATGTAGTTCAGGCTGGCCTTCAACTTGCTGTACTACCGGTTGACCTTGAACTCCTGGCTCTCACATGCCAAATGCTGGGCTGGCAGGCATGCATCATCAGTACAGCCAATGGAATTGGAGAGATTCCGGTGTTTAATGGTCTAATTATGGCAGATGCCTACACTACAGCCTTCACTTGAATGACTTCAGAAAGGAGAGACAAAAGGAGTGTTCTACACACAGCAGGAGAAAATCTAATTTGTGAGTACTGTTGAGAAGGAGTAAAATAAGAACTGAATTTAGTGATATGATACAGAGTTTACATGAACTCCTGGTTCTAGTCTGAGTGAATTGGCCTATGCAGGATGGTGGGAAAAGAAATGACAGTCATTACAGGTGGGGCTATAAAAGCTTGTTCAGATAGGTCTCAATTTTTTCCTGGTGTCTTAAGTGTACCCAGTATTTAAAACTTTACAGTTAAGTCTGAGGAATTCAGACATCCAAAGGAGATTATTC